GTTTTCCGGGCTTTGAAGCCGTGGTCTATGGGAATTTCTTCCTGACGTTTCGTCCACAACTGCGGTGGACATTATCAAAGGCGATGAGGCAGTGGCCGAAGTGATCTCCCGTGCTTTCCGACTAAGACTGAGACAGTACACCGCAGTTGTGGACGAAACGTCAGGAAGAAATTCCCATAGACCACGGCTTTAAAGCCCGGAAAACATTCCTAAATGTGATTTAACAGGCCGTGAAAGCCTTCATAGTCTGATAAGTCTGACAAGTCTCAACTGTCACCCAATAACGCGTAATTTGACATTTTGCAGAGGCAAAAATCGGTAGTTTAACTCGCGAATAGTTATACTTGAACTAGTTTTGATACTTATTTTGAATAGATGTCATTGTGATTTGTTTTGTTAAGTTCTACTCAGCTTTTGCAAGCCTTTGAACATATAGAAACATCACTAACGTCGTGACAGTGTGGCCTTCAACTGTTCAAACAAAAACACTGTTGAGGCCAACATTAATGTCACCTCAAGGTCAACTTTTGACCATATTTTGTTTGTTTGTCGTTTTGAAAAAGCGTAATTTTTCTCAAATAGTCCATGTTCCCGAAATAATAGATACTTAATGAATAGTTTAAACTCTTGGTAAGCAACGAATAGTGAAAACTACTAGACAATGGCAATAAATGACATGAGCCCGTCCACAAAGTGAAAAACACATTAGTGCTTCTTTATGACCATCGCTTCTGTGCGAAAGTGAATAAAAAATATGTCTACTCGAGCGGTTCATTGCTAACCATTTAAACCTATTTCGATATCTACTTTACCCCTACCCTTTAATATATTGAATGCGACATAAGAGGAGTAAAGAGTGAAGCACGTTGGGGGACGATGCCTAAACATTGGTGTATTTTGTCCAACGTTGGCGCAAAAAACTTTTGTAATGCAGGAAACTAATATTTAATTACATTGTGTCAAAAAAGTAAATTTATTTATAAGAACATACATATTTCTGTATAAACACATACAACACGTGCGTTTTGTGGTTGAGTAACCACCACTTTTAGTACTCCCTACTCAGTTTTACACTATGTAAATACAGATGGAAGAAGATTGCGGTTCAAGAAAAACAGGTGGTAAGAAAAATTACAACGTGAACATTTTGGGTTCCGTTGCTGCGGAAATTTCGCAAGTTGTTTTCCACTAAAAATGCCTAATTTAAATGGCCCTCTAAGGGTAAACAAAAAGTATGTAAATATGGATTTTTTAAGTGTTTGTAGTGCAAAATGTACACAATTCTTTGACTAATTGTTGAGTAGTTTTAGAGGTGAAGAAAAGCATATTTCTTAGTTGTCTCGGTACACCTCTTACCTCTAACCCTGCAAATCTTCTTCTTGATAGCTCCAATAGTATCATTGCAAGACACTTTAATGTCAAAGGTTGTGCCCATCAGAGTTTCGACCTGAATTTCTATGCTGGATTCATCAAAACCATCCGAAAACCCATCATCAGACATTTTTGGATTCAATGTAAAACTTCTATGACAGCTGACATTGACAAAAATAAAACTGTTATGATGGCTTTACTAGTGGCGAATATGCACACCGGTCAATGATAAGTTCCAGACCTTCTAAAGCGTTAAATATCCTGGGCTATGCTTCAATCTAAACCGCTGCAAATAATGACAAACTGGAATTAGATCGACTGAACGTTACCAACCATACCAGGTGCAACTTTAAACACCTTGAGCTGCGTTGGAGATTATTTTTGGCAAAGCGATCTATTTTTAACATGTTTCACTTACCAAATAGTCGTAAACCCAAACCAAAATAAAGATACAGTTATACGAGTTTTTCTCAATTCTTGGATTGATTCAAACACTTGGGTAAGCACTGCCCGTCTCTTTCAAATCTGCTGTGGACTTTCCAACGATAAAAATTGTGAACAAACGTTATAAAGTTCAACTTCGACCCGAATATGATTTATTAACACACTACAGCTCTGAAAATATTGAACCCTATGATTCATTTACACAACCCGAGGCAATACCGAAAAATTACTACAATTACGAGGTAAAGCAGCTGGGCTAGTCAGTAATCCCACCCAACCGCTTCTTGTACTGACACTAATGACAGCAATGACCACAGAACATACCCCCTTAGAATGAAAACTGAAATGATAGGTTATGGAGATAAATTTAGCTCTCCACCTAGCGGTATGAGCACACAAACTATGGGAATGTGAGGAATTACTACGATATTTGACTCCTAATGATTGCATTCACCAAATATATCGGGTCAATAAAAAAATCCTGTTATGTAATATTTTATTCAATACGTAGTCAATAAATCAGTTACAACCATGTTTTGTTGCTTTCGGGACGATTTGCAACAAATGCTTGTTTCTGTGATGTACCAGTGTTCCTCTGGTCCGGATATTTTCTGAAAGATGATTGATTTGCTCGGCTCTGAAACAACAATGTGAGGAATTAATTTTCTGGCATTGCCTAAAATCATTTGTCGCTTCAGCAATTTTACTAATTGTTTTCCTCAAATGTCAATTTTGCTTTATAAATAATGCTTTTTCA